CGTTCGGTATCTGCACTTGAACAGCCTTCTGGAAAGAATTAAGTTTGCAACTCAAGGTACTACTGCACACTCTCTCTCTCTCTTCTGTCAGTGTGACTTGTGAATAGGCCAAGTTGGACCTAGATGTTGTCATAAGCTTTTCTCTCTCTCTCCTATGTGTGGGTTATTTGTGTACTGTTCCAGTCACAGTCGTGTTCCTTTTTTGTTCTTGAACAGGTCTGGTTTCACTGTTATGCTAGTTAGGCAGTGTTACCCTCAAGATGCAGTGTGTGGACCTGCCTGGTCTTAGATTTATTTTGGAGCCATGAGGTCGTAGGTGACCCAAACAGCTGAGCTGAGGTCAAAAATCTTTGCAGGTGACATTTGAAGGAACAAAAAATTGTGTAATAGTACGTGGACACTCAGTCATAACCTGCTTACTAGTATGTTGGACATGATTAAAAAAAAGGTTAAAGTGGTACCAATCAGTAGTACAACTGTACAATGGCCACAGGCCTGGTGGCAAAAGCTCTCGGTTCACATGCTAAGAGTCTGGGTTCGATTCCCGGCAGGGGTGGAAACACTGGGCATGTTTCCTTACACCAGTTGTCTATGTTCATCCATCAGTAAAACTGGGTACCCGGGTGTTAGTCAACTGGTGTGGGTTGCATCCTGGGATAAAATTTACCTGAAGTGCTGTGCATAACAAACGGCTTTTAATATAGTAGTACTGTATGTCACTATGTCAGCTAGTCGTATATACCAAGCAAAGGGCCTTGGCAAAAAAAATGTACAATTGAAATCTGCACATTTTTTTTATGCATGGTGTGAGGATGGGTTACGTATCATTAACTGTTTCCTAAAACATGCAGGAAAACTTTGATTAGGATAGTGACAGAAACATAGACAAGAAATTAATTTATACATATTTTGAGCACAAATTATCTATGGCAATTCATGTGAATTTTCAAAACTACTTATTCTCACCTTTTTTTATCTTGGCATTGAAAAAGTCAAATCTCTATCTTCAGAATTTCAACTATATTCTATAATAACTTACAAAAATAGATATTTCACTTACAATTGAAATAGTGGCTTAAATGAACCATACTAGAAAACAATAACACAGCAAAATTCTTATTCAACCTACTGTACATTACCTGGCATAAGCCAAACTAAGCCATAAAATGAGGGGTACATTTTCACTCCTCACAGATGGGAGCAGTCCAGGTCTTTTTTGCATCAGCAGTCAACCCATTTGATGTTTTTACATCCTCTGAGGAAACTGGTGATAATATTTATACATAATTTGTTAATCATCCAAGGAGTCACAGTTTTCCACCGATGGGAATACAGTATAAAAGCTGTTTCCAGCATCAGCAATGAAAACATGCACCTTTCTCTGGATCCTTTGCTTCCCTCCCTCTGCATCTACTAAAATACAAAAGAACTGGATATGTTTATCACCCAGGAGTTGCAACTTGTGAAGGAGGCAATCCACCAATGGTAATGTTATATTACTATTTCAAAATTTACAGCATTAATTCAACCCTCCAATAATACTAATCTACACTTCAGTGCCATTTACATACCTTTACACAGGTGCTTAGCAATAACTTTCTCCACACGAATTATTGGAATCGCTAAGGAAACCTCACTACATGTTTTACTGGGTTGAAATATTACAATGGCCAACAGTGAAAGTTTGAGGTAGCCCATCTGAGTCTTGCTAGGTTGACAGTCTGAGCTAGCGAGGACATTGCAACCCTTCAACCCACAATGCCAACATGAGGTGATGTATCCTAACAAAGTTTTTAATATTCTAATCGCATTTAATTTTTTTTGTGTTATATGCACTCTTATATGGAGGAAGGCTCAGGAGATGGAATGGAGGGGGGTTTATGGTTTATAAGTCTGAACATACTTATGGCTGATAATATACAGTATACACATACATAAAGTATATGGAAGAACAAAAAAATGTACTAAGTGAAATTTAGAGATGATGCTTAGAAAAAAGACATCTAGATAATACATATGCTAATCCAATTGTAAAAAGTACATATAACTTAGTACATTATAGATTAGTTTAAGATATTTAAAAACATACTTAATGCCTTTCATAATAAAAACATATAAAGGTTAGTTTCTTACCAGGACTTTATTTGCCAGTTATCAAGCTCAAATTTTCCCTTGTCTAGGAATCAAAAATGAATGTGTTTGGGTGAAACATTTTTGAGAAATTTATTTCACACAAAAATAGTCATCCCTGAAAGATGAGACTGTCAGTTCAAAGGTGCCCTGCAACTCCACTACATTAAATCTACTATGCTATTTCACTCATTTTTTTTAAATGCATGGGGTCAAGTGAGTTCCCCTGGAAATTGTGAAAAAACGTCCACAAAGACTGAAAACTTAAAACCTCCCCGGGAAACACATGTAGGTTTAAAATTGATCAAAAAAATTTTTTTTTTTAAATATTTTCCTGGACATATTCAAACAATTCTTCATAGAGGATCGTCTAAGTGTGCTCAAGAAATAACAGTTAACATAGCTCATCCCTCTTTCTTGAAATTATAATGATGCCCTTGAGCATTAATAGCAGCAAATTCTACTTACATTTCCCAGTAAGGAATCAAGCATTGTCAGAAACATTATTTGCATGAACTTTGTGTGTGAAAGAGAGAGAGCACTTATTATTAATACTGCATTCATTGCAATGAAAACCCTTAAAAGAGAAAGCATAGAGCTTACAACCCTGTGGAGGATATATGTCTCAAACACATGTGCCACCTAGGAATGCATTCAAAGTAGTAATTTTGCAGTACACTTACAAAACAAGAAATGCTGAGCACTTTAAGTCACTCGCTAACTGCATTATACTTTATTATAACCTAAGCTATTCCAATTAGTCATCATCAATAAAATTCATTAGGGATTTGTAAGCAATTAGAATTATATTAAAACAAGTCATTCCCAGCTATCAGTTTTATCATAAAAAGAAATCCCTAACAATTTGCTGCTATTTATGATCTTTTAATGAATATACAATTAATTTACTAGATATACAAAATGTGTCTCATACAATACTCCTTGCTACTAGCTTTCATAAAACTATTAAATATATCCCCTTTAAATGCATAAAATGTTCAATATATTTCTGAACAACATACTTGACTCTTAAAGTCCAATTACTTAAATATTTGTACAAAAATCTTAAATGTTTTTCAAACAAAGCCCAAAAAGTTTTTTTTTACGTCTACAGTCACACTTCAACACATTTGATATGGCATAATTAATCACAGTTTTGGTAATAAAGATGTCTCAGACTGCCCACCCCATTCATTTATACAATGATGCCATACAAGTTTCTTTCAGTCATTATGGCTGCCAATTGTCCTCTGGCTTTCTATGAGCCACAGACCCACCACTTGGTCCATGAACAATACAGTTCCTATTTGCACTACAAAATAAAAATGTCTAACACACAATCTAGCTCGACAAACAAAACAATGGAAAAATAATGGAGGGGATATAAATGAATTTATCATACAGATAATAACATATGGCAATGTAAATAATAGTAATCTTGGAAGAATAAGAATATTTCAGTTATTTAAAAGATATCAGGCTATTTAAGGGTAAATATAGTGAGACTAAGGATCAAGAACACCTTTTAGCAAGAAGCTTCGTATTCCATCATAAGAACACTGTCATTTTCATGAATACACCTCATTTGAGGAAACAGGGTGTCTAGACCATACATACTATCAAATTAAAAAAAATACAGATCTCACAAATCAACCCTTCTTCCTACTTACCAAGTGAATACCACTCAACTTCTTAGGAGTGACTCCCATTCAAATGCAAAGAAGCATTCCTCCACATAATAGATTTATTTATATGGAAAGTAGTACAATAGTGGCTAATTTATACATGGAAAAAATATTAACAATATCTTACAATTAGCCACTGTACAAAACAAATAAAAATATAATCAAATGAACTGCGAAGCCCAAAAGGGTCATATAGCATTACAGGAAGGGACGTGTGAAAAGGAGGAATGTGATGAGGGGGTGAAATGATTTGGGGAGGTGAAAGCAAGGGTTAGTGGAGGTAAGACAAAGTGCAAGAGTGAAGTTAAAAATCACAGCTGGTGCAATAATTTGGTTTCTGTTAAAAAGTAGGAGAGGGAGAGACTGTCAAAAGTGGGACTTTCAGGGAGGTCAGTTAGAGTAAATGTGTTGGATCAGCAGCGGTGATGGAAGTGAATTCTGCATGTTCGCTGATAGGTTGAACAATCTATTATATAACGAACTGACATTGTAACTCAATAATCCCGCAGAATGATGTAAGATATTTTTCCATGAGGTATCCAAGAGTGAGGTATAGGGGGCCAATATCAAGCCAGGAGAGTGCAGTCTCAAAAATGACAGTGGTGGAAAGATGGCCAGAAACCTAAGTTAGGAATGACAGAAAACAATTTGTTGTGGCCAAACTAGGACAAACATTGTTGCCAACAGTTGCTGAGCAGTCAAGAGATAACTGAAAAATAATCAGAGTAAGGAAATCTCTGTGGGAACTCGACAAGTCATGAACAGTTCACATAGCGGCTGAGTCTCTTGTTCATTACCCTGAACATTGACCAGTGCAACAGACAGGTGAAGCAGCAGCAGCAACACTCACAGCAAGAGGCATTCTTGAACTTTCTCAGCTCTCAGCCCAAAGTTGGGGTGTGGCTCTAAAAGGATTCTGTAGTGCTTGCTGCCTTTGCACCTCCTGACATTGTCTGCCACACCCTTCACGTCCAGTGTGGGAGAGATTTGTGGCAGCCCAAGGTGCCTAGCTTCTCCCTCCGAACCCCGTGGGGGCGGGGATAGGCCTGGGGATAGCTTGTCCCAGAAGACGAGGAGGTACTTGTACCTCCTCCCATGGCAGACATTGGTCCGAGACACTCCCACAAAAGGGAGCCAAGGCCGGGCCACCTCTTGGAAAAGGCCTGGACCGGGCAATTATACCGGCGAATCTACTACCTACTTATCTGAACACTGATATATCCAGGGACCCAGCAAAAGCTGACATCTCTGCATTAACTAGAAATACCACATAGCCATAGTTAAATGAATAGCCACATTGAAATGTGCAGGATGATGGAAGTCAAATTTCTGGATTGCCTTGTAATACACTGCAAGAATCCAACACAACTATAAATGATGAGGTAGACATCAACACAACATGTACAATGTGAAAACAATGGCTGAGTGAGTAAATGACCTCAGATGTTTTTGTTAGGAAAAAACTGTTGCATATCTAAAACCATCAGGGGACTTAGAACTATCAGCGTATGGTGCAATATCAAGAGAACGAGAGTGGCAGTGACCAAGAAAGGTCATGCATGAGGTTACAGCAGGCAAGTGAACTTTTGCATCTGGAAGTGGGTAAGAGCAAACCCGAATTGTCAGGATTTCCCAAAGAGGGCGAGAAACCTAAGATCCAGGGTGAATGCAGAGGGGAGGTAAACAGAGTGTGAGAGAGCCCTAAAACAAAGACATTGGTCAACAGATGTGGAGGTTGTGGAGGATAAGAACAAGGAAGCATTTTGGTGTCCACTGCATAGTTCCATGTATGCAGAATATAATTATGAAGAAGCTGTAATATTATTTCACTCAAAAAGAAAAACTGAACTGGAACAAAAATTCTATCAAACTGCACTGGTATTTAATGACTAACTCCAAAAACATTAAAAAATGTATCAGAATGACTAATGTTTTAGTAACAATATTGCATAACTCTTCCCAGCTAAAGAAAAATTACTTATTTTACACAAGCAGTAGCTTATTCACTAAATATAAGTGAGAAAATATTCAAATAAATTTAAAAACCCATTTATCTAAGTTTAACACATGAATATTGAGTGAAATCTTCTATTAGAGATATAGTATTAGAATTTAAGAACAAAATAAATCTCTCAAGAAAATCATACAAAATGGATCAAAAGTGAAACATTCAAAGAATGTCTAGTGGCCATTACATCAACATGCCAGATGGGAAAGAGGAAGGTGTCTTCCTGCTTTGAATTGGCAGAAATTATGGTCTAGAGAAACCTCATGTCAATCTTCATGAAAATATTGGATAATACTGTTCTCTCGTATACAAAGGAGAACCATCAACAGGATGAATACTTATGTCACAGCAATTTGTATTAACTAGACTGTGCTTAAATTTGTTTGACAAAATTTGCTTATAATATGAATAACAAAAGCTTCACCACATTTTCACAGTAGCAAAATATCCCAGTAAACAAAAAAATACAGCAATATTATGGGTACAATTTTTAATGAGAAAAGGAGTGGTTAGCATTTTCTGTACTAAAATCTAATATGGCATTTCGATATTTCTTAGATGAACTAAAAAGCTATGACTCATGTTAACAGTACTTACACAACAGTAGTGCAAAATGATATTTATGACTTGTGAAACTGTAATAACACGATTGCAAACAAACCACAGAATGGGTGGGATCTGAACCCATGGTGAGTGAGTGGTAAAACTCCAGCCATTCCGTGGTTTAAAATGATATTCAGTTAGTTTACAAATAAAAACCCATGATTTTTCAATCCAATGGTTAGCAAAAATAGCATGTATAAATGATACAGATTAAGACTGCAAAACTAATTTACCTTGATTATTTACTCAAAATTGGACATATATTTCTACATACTTTACCATGCATCACCCTCTGCCCAATCAAAACAGCAACAAAAATTATATATTTTTCTAAGTTAGGTTTACATTACTAACATATATTTATGTAGTTAACCCCCAATAATGAAATAAATGGGTGCCTTGCATCTGGGAGCAAGGAACACCTCATTGCAGCTTAAATCATTAATAATCTCATGCATTTTGTACAAGGTGGAAGATGGTCTAACGGGAACTCTTGACTTAACCACCTAAAGAATACAGGTCCACATCCCTTTAACCAAAACCCTTGGGGCCAGCAGTGTTTCGAATTTCAGAAAGAAGGTGGGGTCTAGGGCAGCACCCCATAATCAAACATTAACACTGCAGCAAAAACGTATGAATACTCACACTAAGTGGGATAAAAAGACTACAAATACTACTACGTTTATTTATAGAGTAATATACTGATTAATGAAATAATTATAGACCAGGAACACGATTCTCAAGATGACTGACAGATGGCATTTTTAAAGACTTCTTCAAGTGTCATCTGTCTTATTAACATAGGTTTCTGTCTAAGCAATCTCTCTTTAACTGAGTAAATTGCCATAATCTCTTGCTCGCTGATAAATGCACCTTGTTCAAGGCCAACAATTAACTGATCACACATTTTCACCATATTGTCTATGGGTACTTTTTCACCTGTGTTCACAATGTCCTCATCACCATCATCACTACTGTTCTCATGTTTATTTGTATTTAACACCATTTCAGCAATTTCACCATCAGGGTCAGCTTTTTCATCACAGATTTTCAGACATTTTACACCATTACGCATCTTAAATTTCTGCAGCCAACCACCTGAATATTGACACTCGCCTTCAATGTCCAGTTCTTCATGGTATATTCTAGCTTGTTTCATGACCAACAAACCAGTCAGTGGCATACATTCACTTCTTCTTTGTCAAATCCACTCCATTAGCACAGTCAAGATCTTCGTTTTTTGCCCAATGCAGTGTTTTCCTATTTTTCATTAGTTTTTGGTCATCACTGTCACTATAATACTTCAGTAACTTGTCTTTCTGTTTCTTTAAATCATAAACAGTGGTAGTTCCAACACCATACTCTTCAGTAAGACGCCACACTGACACACTAAGATCAAGCTTCTGCAGTAACTCTACTTTCTGCGTTACTGATAACATCAGATGCTTCCTTTTCTTTTTCTCACTGCTACTTATAGGGGCATCTGCAGCTCTTTTTGACAATTTCACAGTGAAATTAAACACAGTCACAAAATAAAGAGCAAAAACAAAATATCAGCAAACAGACCCAAGTGTGAATACTACATGTGCTGAGACACAACTGACACCTGCCACTCTGGCTGCTGGTGCTGGGTCATGCCGCCACATGGCAGCGTGACCCAGCACAGAGATGAATGACACTCCACGGTTTTTGGAACTTTTCGAATTTCAGAATTTCGGATAAAGGGATGAGGACCTGTATACCTAAACTGCAATGCATAACACACACACAACACTTTAATAGAACATAATTAACTTGGCCACTGGTTATATATTTTTCAAACTGAGAGCAGACTCTCATGTTACCCTTATCCATAGATTTTAGAAAAATTATATATACGTATATACATGTGTAAATAGAACAAAAACTTATTACAGTTAATGATGAAGTATGCTAAGATAAATATTTAAATACTGTAATTTGATTATAGAAGGGCCAACTGCATGTACTGAATAAAGCAATTTGAAATCATTAGCAAGGAGGGAAAACAAGCCAAAACTGATATTACTTTGCAATTTGCTCTGCACACCTGTAAAGCTTTGATATGTTTTAGGTTAATATCCCTACTTTTATATGACACAAAACTATTTATCAAGGTATATAACTATCCAAAACAAATAGTGACATCAGCTTCACAAAATATGCAAAATTTTTTTGATTGCAACACACTAAGATGACACAAGTTGCAGAAGTTGAAATCTGATACTCTCAGGCTTTATTAGTAAAATATTGGAAATGAAATTCCAGTTTCTGGATGTGAGACAAAAAAACTTTCTCCTAACCTAGTAACTCGTGCATGACTCATTAGAATCAGAAGATCATCATTAAAGAGGCAACTGAAAAGTTGTCTCTTTAATGATGTGGGGATAACTTTCTAAAATAGGGTTCATGGGATTTATATAGTTGTTGAGGGTTAATTTTGGAAAAATCTAGAAACTGGAAACAAGATTCAAATTTCAACCAAGAGATTGATATTTATCAGGTTTCAACTACAGCTGAACCCCAGAATTCGAGCAAGTTTCGTTTCTGAAGGTAATGTGAATTCTGACACCATGGATATTAGGAAATTTAACATATTAAAATCATTTAAATTTTGTAATTTATATTTTATATGAACAAGCGCAAAGTAGAATGACTTGGAGAACGTATAAATCTGTAGGGGAAGGAAGGTGGGGTAGGGGTCGTCTTCGAAAAAGTTGGAGGGAGGGGGTAAAAGAGGTTTTGTTGGCAAGGGGCTTGGACTTCCAGTAAACAGGCGTTAGCATGTTAGATTGGAGATGAATGGTTTTTGGGACCTGACGATCTATTGGAGTGTGAGCAGGGTAATATTTTGTGAAGGGATTCAGGGAAACCGGTTAGCCGGACTTGAGTCCTGGAAATGGGAAGTACAATGCCTGTTCCAAATGTATATAAACGTTCACTACCCCAGTGCCCCAAATATTTTGAAAAATAAATTTTTTTTTCTTTTTTTATAGAGAAAAGGGGCACATTTTTCTAAGTGTTATAGGATAAAAAAAAAATTTTAGAGTCAGTACTTACCGAGATACGAGGCCACGAAGTTGGCACTTGGCGATTACATGGCGGCAACAAGGAGCGCTGCCGCTTGCAGAAACTCTACATAATTACCGTTTTTTTCCATTTTTTTTTTACTTTTCTTGGTTTTCTTGATATGATACTTATGTTTTACAGCAATTCTTTTGATTTCAATGTCAACTGTTGCTTATACATCAATAATATATATAAAATTATTATCATATTGTCACAGACACATATGTACACACTGACAGGTGATTTTGCACACCTGGCTGAATCACACATTATTATCTACAAGTATTTACATGTCCCATTTATGTTTCTAGAACTCCAAGATTGTATGATACTCCATGAAGCATGGATTCATACAGAGTGCCACCCCACACTGGTGACAAATGTATCGTGTGTCCTTTCGCTGTTGGGGTCGTTTTGTGGTGGTAGCACACACAACACACTTTTTCTGGGAATGCTTCTTCTTTGGGGTAGGTGGTATTGGTACCAAGTAGTGACAGTTAGGGATGATTCAGTCTGGCACTTCCCCCACTGGCTGTGGTTGTGGGACAGGTTCTGGTGTGACAGGTCGCTGTTGAGGGGTAGGTACAGGTGTGGTACCATACTTTTTTGCAATCTGTTTTACGACATTCAAGGAGAATTTTGCAAAACGTTGTCGTTTTCCAGTCTTTATTTTGCAGTGCTCAATGCGTTCAATATGTACAATGTCTACAAGGTGAAAAAACAGTTTTATATACCACTTGCGACTCCTACGCACACAGTCAACGAACCCTATCATCGTGTTACACTTGTCAACGAGTCGCATATTGTTTGTATAGTCGACAACAGCAGCTGGCTTGACAATACGTTCATTGGTTTCCCTGTTCACTTTGTACCATCTCATTTCTGTGGATGGCTGACAGCAATGTCACGTCCCGTTTGTCATGCCACGTCAGTGCCATGATGTCATTGGCATGAAATGCTTGCACTGCACCTTCAATACTGCCTCCACTGAACCTTGGCATATGTTTTCTATTCCTTCTCACTGTTCCACATATATCAGTATTGTTCACATGTAGGTAATCAGTGAGCACAGGGCTTGTATACCAGTTGTCTGTGTACAATGTATGGCCCTTGCCAAGGTATGGTTCCATCACTTTTCGAACATCATCACCAGAAATGCCCAACATGCGTCTGGTATCATCGAGTGTGTTTTTCCCGGTGTATACAATCACATCTAACACAAGACCACTCTCAGTCACACATAACAAAAAGTTTTATACCAAAGCGATGACGTTTGCTTGGTATATATAGTTTGAATGACAAGCGTCCCTTGAACAGAATCAAGGACTCGTCAATAATATTCTTGAAGGGATAAAAGTAGGCACTGAATTTCTGCTTCATATAGATAAACACTTCCCGGATTTTGTATAGGTCATTTCTGTTGGGCCTATTCCTGTCTGAGAAGTGCAACATTCGTAGCAACAGAATGAATCTGTTGCAGGGAAGGTGGTCACGGAAGACAGGAGTACTGATAAAGTAGCCTGTGGCCCAGTAGTTACGTATTGTTCTTATAGGTATGTGGCATAAGCATGACAGTGGCAAGGAATAAATACATTTCATCCACTGTTGTATCTTTCCATCTGTGCAGCTGTGACGATTCCCCAACCTCTGGTGCATTGTCCATGATATAACGGTAATAAATGTTCGTCTGGGTCACTATCAAGTTCATTATAGGCTCGTCAAAGTATAACTGGAAAAAGTCTAACTCTGTAGACTCATTCGTTATGGGACATTCTGGCAGGATGCCACTTCCACTTGCATCAAAATCAAAAGGCTCTGACACGAATATACTTTGTGTCCAGTTCCCCTCTCGGTCACATGGTGCAGGGTGGACCTCTGGCATGGGGCGTGGGGGAGCAGGAGGGGGGACAGGAGTGGGGGCAGCACATGGTTGAGGGGGTGCCGGGTGGTCCTTTGTCTGTCCACCCACCGTGCCACCCACCACTATTTCCTCCATCCTCACATATTCACCTTCATTATCACTTTCACTATCAGTGGCAGGGGTTTTGGATCATGACCTGCCACGACCCTTGCTGCCGACTGCAAATGGCACACTGCCTGAATGTAGGTAATGATGCCTAAAAGTACGCTTCACTGGTGAATAATAGTCACTGTCACTAGACGAATCCTCTAATGGCATAAAATCAATCTCATCGTCACTTACATCACTTTCACTATCACTACTAAAACACCGGGAAAATGACAGTTTCCTCTTGTGTAGTTGCCTCTGTGTAACACTCACCACTCCAGAGGTGCTTGGCCCAGGGTCTTGTGTGGCCACCCCAGAAGTGCTTGGCCCAGGGTCATCTGGGCTGTCGTCTATATTTTCACTATTTCCTTGATTATTAGTAGCCACATCTGCGTCAAATCCACTAAATTGACCTTCCATACCACTTTCCTCGAATAATAGTGTTAATACGACGTGGTGTGAGTGTATCATGAGGATGTGCCATGATGTTGACCAAAGATGGAGCTGAATGTAACTGGTCCTACCATGCGGTACCCAGGCGTCCCAGATTTTTTTGATACTTCGCACACTGAGTGCGCACATCCATTCTCTCATGTCTAGGCGACTCAGGCCTATCGCGCCAATTTTGAAGGAATGAAAAATAAAACGTAAATATACGTTTGGGGCAGTAGTGGTAAAAACGTATATATACATTTGGACCATTTACAGGTTAAAGGAGGGGTTTGGGATATTGGCAGTTTGGAGGGACTTCTAAACTGTCATATCTGAGCGCCTCTGCAAAGACAGTGATTATGTATGAGTGATGGTGAAAGTGTTTTTCTTCCTTTTTGAGTTTTTCTTTCTTTTTAGGTCACCCTGCCTCAGTGGGAAACAACCAATTCGTTAAGAAAAGGTACAAGCGCAGCAAAACTTCATAAAAATCCTATGTTTTTGGCCATATCACTAATTCTTAAACTCCATGGATGAGAGGCATGATAGCCCTCATGTGGTAGTATTTTCTTTTTCAAATGCTCCAAAAAATCTTCTTGAAAAATTATAAGAATATAACTATGAATAAAAAACTCTTTAATGCCATGTTGCAGTTTGATACACACAACCTAACTAGCAGGCACCTCTGTGACAAAAAGATAAAAAGCACAATAACATAACTGGAACAATAAGTTCCTGTCCCCTTACCCTGTCTCCTATATATTCTGGTTCCCTTCCTTTTGCACTTCTCTATGTAGCTAATTAATAGTCTAAGATAACTGAAACATCTTCACAAGTTTTAGTCTCCTAAGTGCAGGTTGTGAATGTAGTATACCAGTGTGACAAAACTGCTTATATATTTTCACTGCTCTTTCTCAAATTTGTTTGCATTTTGTTTTTTCATTACAGTGCAGTAGTTGAGAAATTACTCAATATTTATTGGCATATCATATTAGGTGATTTCCAGTGTACAGTTGTCCATGAAACATGGATATACACACAGTGCAAGATCATGCAGTTGTATCTGGCTGACTCATGCCATCTTTGTTTTCTAAGTGCATTACTGCAAATAACTTTTTTTTTGTTGGCAATTTCTTCTGTGTAGCAGAAATAGGCCCCAGCCATACATGTTTAACCCTTTGAGGGTCCGTCCCGTAGATCTACGGCTTTACGTTCAGGGTCCAAACCTTAGATCTACGTCATGAGCTCAGCTCACTCTGATAAACTGTGAGTGGTACATTTGGGCGTAGATATGAGAGAATACATCTATGTGGTATGTGTGCACCACATAAAACAGAACCTGCAGCACGCTGTATATAATGAGAGAAAAAAACTGAAATCATGATTTTTCGATTAAAACAGCGACTTTCATATGTTTTTTATAGTTGTATTTGCGATTTCTTGGTCTCATTTGATAGAATGGAAGACATATTACAGAAATAAAGATGATTTTGATTGGTTTTAGCACTGGAAATGGCTTGAAACTGAGCTCAAAGTAGCAGAAATGTTAAATTTTTGCCGATATTCAAGAGTAAACAAACGACCTCACACGTCTAATACATGCCAGCTGGTGGGTCTAATATGCATTCACAAATATGGTGATATTTATACAATTATTACAGTATAATTATTATAATCAAAAAGAAGCGCTAAGCCACAAGGGATTGCATAACAGTAAATCTATTTTTTTTGGTGTGAATAAAAATTCATTATGTGAATAAAAAAATCAAAATGGAATTTATTTGTAAAGCCTCAAAACGTAACTAATGAACAGAGGAAATGTTAGTTTAGTTCCAGGAATACCTACATTGTTTATTCTGGACCCTATTTTGAAATTGGAATATTTTGAACTTTGTGTAAAATTGGCCAAATTAACAATTTCTGATCACTTTAATTTGTAGTTGAAACAGTTGACTTGGCGATTTCTTGTGCTCAATCGATAGAATAGAAGTAATACTAGTGAAATAGCTAAGAATTTGGTTGACTGGAATAATGTAATTGGCCTAAAATGGGAGTCAAAGTCAGCAAAATCGCCGATTCGTAAATATCGCTGACACATCAAAATTCGCGAGAGCATAATTTTGTCAATTTTCCATCAAATTTCGTACTTTTTGTTTTATTACCTTCACAAAAAGATTCTCTACCATTTCACAAGAAAAAATAACAAATTTTTTTTTTGAAAATTCTTGGACACTGGGGCACCACTTCAGATTTGGGCCTTGGACCCTGAAGGGGTTAAGTTACTAGAAGCATACATTGTGTTCCTATCATTAGAAATGCCCCTTTCAAGAATATGGTCATATTCATCTTCACTTTCCTCATCCCTGCTGCAGTCACTATCACTTGAAATGATTACTGCTTTATTCGGTAGAGGAAGTGGCTTACTAGTGATTGATGCTGGTAGTAGTAAGTAGTAAGGATGATCGTCTCTAGGCACCATGATGGTAATTCTGGTGCAGTAGTAAGGATGAATGGGAGGGTGTTGGCACCTGGAGAAGAAGTTGATATCCTTGGGGTGAAATTTGACTCCAAACTAACCATGAAGAACCATGTTGTAAATCTTGCAAACAAGGCAGCCAGGAAGCTTACAGCACTTCGCCGTATCTCGCATCTACTTGACAGTAGGGGTTGCAAGATTCTGTACGAGGCACAAGTACGCTCGCACCTTGAGTATGCTCCACTTTCTTGGTTTGCCTGCCCCCCCTCTCATCTGTGACTGCTTGACAGAGTAGAGAACAGAGCAAGACGTCTCATCTCTCGCCTGGACCCATCCTGGATAGATCTGTCATTTCAGCAGAGCCTTCAACATAGGAGGAATGTGGGTGGCCTTACTGTTATGTACAAGGCCAATATTGTCAAAATACCACACTTGGATCCACTTCGAGGACAGCGTGAAACAAGCTTTTATGCCACAAGAAGGGCAGAAAGCAGCAACTTCACTCTGGCTGTGCCCTTCTCCAGAACATCACTCCATCTGAGATCCTATATACCCAGGATGACTCGAGTATGGAACACATTCGTACAGCATAATGATGTCAACGAGATAAAGTCAGTTGATCAAATGAAAATGCTGGCCCACAGATGGCTCCAACTTCATCCTGTTCCCTACTTGTATGTCTCATAACAATAAAAATGCTTTCCAATGAGCTGATGTAGGTAGCAGCTCTTAGCTTGCCAATAAAGTAAGGAATCCTTAATCTGTAAATAGCTTGTCAATAAAGCTAGGGATCCTTAACCTTGTCAAACCCTGTGTAAAAAAAAAAAAAAAAACTAGTTATATTTCATGACAAATAGCTTATATCTGCACCCCTTCTCTTGGACAGTTCATTTTTGTGAAATTCTCCAATATTATTTCTACAAAATTCATTAATTCCTTTCACTGCAACTTTCATCATTGCTACTTGTCACTATTCAAAGGAATCTTGTAAAAAAAAAAAAAAGCATAATAAACATGACTGGCACAATACACAAATAACCTGCACATAGGAGAGAGAAGCCTACGATGACATTTTGGTCCAACTTGGACCATCTGAAAAGTCACACTTACACAAAAGAGTGAGGGAGCCAGTATATATAGTGTGACTGCAAATGGTCTAAGTTGGACCAAAATGCTGTCGTAAGCTTCTCTCTCTCTTTCTCTCCTATGTGCAGGTTATTTGTGAATCTTGATTTAACTTGCTCAAATTATCATGTCTCTTTGGCATGATACCAGACACATTACTGAAGTCCTGTAGCCCCCCCATATTCCAATGCCTCCCATAATGCACCACACAGGCTAAGACTTTGTTTCTTTTGAGGATAAGGTCATACATGACCCCAAAAGTTGTTTGAATGCCTAAAATTGTGAAGCATGTGAAATTCGAGTATACCAGGACTTTTGCAATATCTATATATATATAGGTTACACTCAGTTTAAGGGTTAGGGTTATATATTGCTTTAATATGCTTAACCCTTTGAAGGTCCAAGCTGTAGTTCTATGCCTTGTCCACAGGGTCCAAGAATTTAAAAAAAAAAAAAAAATATTTTTCTTATAAAATGGTAGAGAATCTTTTTCTGAAGGTAATAAAACAAAAAGTACAAAATTTGATGGAAAATTACACTCGCAAATTTTACTGAATCAACGATATTTAAGCATTGGCGATTTTGCCCACTCTGACTCCTATTTAAGGTCAATTACATTATTCCAGTCAACCAAATCCTTACCTATTTTGCTAGTATCACTTCTATTTTATAAAGTGAGCTTAACCCTTTGAGGGTCGACAGGCCCTCTCCGAAACTCGTTCTCAGGGTCGGCCAAATTTAAAAAAAAAAAAAATTATTTTCTCTTATGAAAAGATAGAGAATCTTTTCCCGATCATAAAGACACCAAAAGTTTGAAATTTGATAGAAAACTTACGGAATTATGCTCTCGCAAAGTTAGCGGTCTCGGCGATGTTTACACATCGGCGATTTTGCCCACTTTGAGCCCCATTTTCGGCCAATTTCACTGTACTAGTCGACAAAAAACATGAATATTTCGCTAGAACTCCATTTTTTCTATCGAATGGGTGCAAGAAACCACCCATTTATAAATTCAACTATCCAGTACAGTGGTCAGAATTTAGCAATTTTGCCAATTTCACACAAATTTCAAAAGATGCCAATTTCCGAATAGGGTCCAGAATAAACAAGAAAGACATTCCTGGCACTAAAATGACATTTCCTCTAGTCATTAGTCACGTCTCAAGGCCCCTCTTATATTCTTTTGCATTCCACTTTGAATTTTTATTCTCACAAAAAATATAAGATTTACTGTTATGCAGACTACTGCATTAGTGTAAAAAATGGTATAAATATTATTGGTGCACTTGTAAAAGAATATTAGACTCACCAGTTGACGTGTATTGCACGCTTGGCACGATTTGTTTACTTTTGAAGTTTGGTAAAAATCAAACATTTCTGCTACTTTGAGCTCAATTTCAAGGCACCTTTCATTGTAAAACCAGTCAAAATCATCTCAATTTCTGTAATATGTCTTCCATTCTATAAAATGAGACCAAGAAAACTAGAATACAACAATAAATACCATACGAAAATACACTGCAAAGTCGCTGATTTATTAAAAAAAAATGGTCAAAGTTTTTTTTTCTCATTATGCACTGTGTGCTGCAGGATTTTTTTTAGACTGTGCACACTGACCACATAGACCCATTCTTTCATATGAAGGCCTACCGGCTTTCTCCCACTAGATTTGAGGCCGCTAGAATTTATGAGTACTAGTACGTCAAAAACCCCTACGCGTAAAACGTACTAGTACGACCAAAACCCTCAAAGGGTTAAGAAACTCCCCAATCAACTATTTCTACTACCCAATAAAGTGATCAGAAATTGGTAATTTGGACAATTTCACACAAAGTTCAAAATTGGGTCCAGAATAAACAATGCAGGCATTCCTGTCACTAAAATCACATTTCTTCTGTTTATTAGTTATGTTTCCAGGCTTTTCAGATGAATTCTATTTTGATTTTTTATTCACATAAAAATTTTTTATTCACACCAAAAAACAGAAGATTTACTGTTATAATTGTATAAATAATATCAGCACATTTGTGAACATATATTAGACCCACCAGTTGACATGTGTTGGACGTGTGACATCACTTGTTTACTCTAAAACATCGGTAAAAATTTAACATTTCTGCTACTCTGAGCTCAATTTCAAACTATTTTCAGTTTTAAAACCAATCAAAATCATCTCTTTTCTTATGTAATATATTTTCCATTCTATCAAATGAGACCAAGAAACTGCGAATACAACTGTAAAAACCATATGAAAATACACCACGAAGTCACTGTTTTAATCCAAAAACATGGTCGCAGTTTTTTTTCTCATTATGCACTGTGTGCTGCAGGATTTATATGGTGCACACTTACCACAGAGATCCATTCTCTCATATCTAGACCCAAATTTACCGCTCACAGTTTATCTGAGTGAGCTGAGCTCGTGACAAAGAATTACGGCTTGGACCCAGGCTTCAAAGCCGTAGAACTACAGGACAGACCCTCAAAGGGTTAATACTGACATTCATATAATACAGCCTCTCCTCACTTAACGACGGAGTTCTGTTCCTAAGACCACGTCGCTAAATGAGGAGCATACTATAATGGTAGTGGGTTTGTGTTAACCATCTTTGATATTGTTTTAATGTCACCTTCGCAACATTTATAACATTTCTGGTATATTTTTACATGTTTATACAATAGTGTACAGGAAGGCCCCGCTTTACGGCGTTTCACTTTACGGCGTTCCGCTAATACGGACATTTCAAATTATGACCAAAACTCACTATACGGCTCCCCCCACCTGACTTTCTAATACGGTCACCGTGCCCCACCCTGTTTGTTTACATTCTCCATGAGCTCAGTAAGCACTAAGTCTCTCCATTTTGTCTGGAAACTCCAAAATTTCAAATGTTTTTAAAAGTTATTTCATATTTTATATATACTCTGATAATTATACTTATGTATACCTGTACCTAAATAAACTTACATACATCGAGTCATTTAAATGTCGTATATTACGTTAATATACACATTTTCATTAATCCATCCATGATATTTTTTTCAAAATTATATAATAAACACGATGCATAACATATAAATAAGATAAATACACCCCACAGTAGAATAAATAAACAAATGTGAGATGTCGTAGCAGACGACTTGCACAAGTGGTGATAATAACAATACCGAGTCTCATTAAATGTCGTATATTACGGTAATATACACATTTTCATTAATCCATCCATGATATTTTTTTCAAAATTATATAATAAACACGATACATAACATAAAAAGATGATAAATACACCCCACAATAGAATAAATAAACATAAATATAAGATGTGGGAGCCACATAACTTGTACAAGTGACGCCAAGAATAACATTTTCTCTAATCTAACATAAGAGTAAATGTGTTACTGGGGGTAACTGTAGAAAATTATTCCTTTCGTATGTATGTAAGTAAGTTTATTCAGGTATACACAAATACAGTTACATAGATTATCATACATAACAACATACGTGTAAGAACCTAGGATAACCCAAAAAAGTCAGTGTGACTTATTTCCATTGCCTTCACTCAGAGCTTCATTTCTTCTCAAAATGATGTTACATGAGAATGGGAGTGTTCTTCTTTATTAATTCTACCGTATCAATGTAGAGACAACCTGTACACAATGTAACTTGTACACAAACCAGACGTGTACACTTCGTTTGTTTACAAAACTTACCTTCCCCTGGTTTGTTTACATAACTGCGCCTGCCCCCTCTCATGTATTCATTCTTTCTCTCTCTCATTTATTCGTTTTATCTCATTTACTTACTCCTGACCCTACATTAAGACTACAAATATTTTAAGGTAAGTAATGAGTGAACTGTATATACATTTTATCGCTCTGGGATGCTTAAATATCATAGAATAGTATGTGTGGGTGGGGTGGCCTGGTGAGGCTATTACAATACATACCACACTTGATTTCTTACAATAAATACTACTTGTCTCACCCTAGATTAAGACTATAAATATTTTAAGGTAAGTAATGAGTGCACTATGTGTGTATTGTACCTTTTTATTGTTTTTTGATGCCTGGTTCTATTGCTAACTTAATATATGTTAGTGTAAACTTGTTATCTAGTGTTTGTATGCATTTATAAGTGGAAAAAAAGGGTGTTCCACTTTACGGCGATTTCCGCTTTACGGCGGTAGCCTGGAACCTAACCCGCCGTATAAGTGGGGCCTTCCTGTACTGTATACTGAAATAAATAGAACAGAGGAAATTAGCTCGAATATATATTATTTAGGTATGCATACTGGTCAGAGCCCGTCGTAAGACCGAGGCATCAGTAAACGAATACATCGCTAAGTGAGGAGAGGCTGTAATCATATTTTGAATAAAATCCTCTAGTTACTGTTTAGTTTTCAATTTAAGAGGCTATGCACCAAGAAAAAAGTTAGGGCACCAAAAAGAGACATGAAGCTATTCTCAAAATGGCATTTAGTACTAAAGATGTATAACTGAATCACATGACTTACAGAGCACGTGAATTCCGGGATACAATTGTACTCCCACACTATACATACAAGTGTCATTCAAGTACTATATTAATAGTGGTAAAGTGCTCTTCTTATGCATAGATATCATTAGTAATGACAAGACAATATTCTTGCACTTATTTCAAGAGCAATATTTATATGTACTCATGAAATATTTGTGCACGTGGTGCATTATTAACCATGTGCCTCTTGGTTATGAATATCACTGAGGAAGACCATATCCTACTTATTTCTTAACAAACAAGTTGTAATATAACATGTTCAAGTAATACCTTGAAATACTTTTTTTCATGTTAAGTCTAAGGGATCTTCACATTATCCTCAATCATATAAAAAATTTCTAATGCATATCATCACTACACAAACTGGCCTAAACAATACTTCTACTTATTTTCCTAATTAAAAAAAAACTATTTCATGACAATATTCACGAAATCTTCACAACAGCACTTGAAAATATTAACTTTCAATACAATGGTACTAAAAACTGAGTAAGGGTTTACTACAATTAAATTATCACATTAATTATAGTACTGTACTAACATTTTAAAACTGGTTTTCACTGCTATTGGTAATTAGGACCTCAAGTACCTTATTTACTATAAACTATATCTGATTTTTATTATAATCTCTAAAACTAAACATGAAATTGCGACTAGTACAGTAATAATTTTACAGGAAGGAAAATATTTAATCCATGGCAAGTGCTATCAAAGTATCCAGCTTTGTCCATGCCACAGCTAAGAATTATTACATTAAAAAAAAGTGGTGAATGACTACTGTTCAAAGCAGCCTTGTTGAAACTGAGGCATGAATTAGAAAAACAACATTAAAAAGCTATGACTGAACTCTGCTATCTACTAAGGATAACTTCAAACATTTCAGAATGGCACAGCACCTTGAAGTATCACTTTAACAATATTCTTGCAAACCACAAAGTTATTTTTATCTACACAAGATAGTTTAGGATAACTGGAAACACAATCTCTCCTAAATCTTAATTCTAACGTAACCTTCCAGCATTTCTGCCGTTACATATTCGTAAACCTTAAAATATAATGAACTATCTTATAGTCTCACTACAAAGACAATACTGTACTTACAAACATTAATTTTATATATATTTGCTTATTAAACAACCAACTCTGCTTAACAAATTCTTATTCATGCATTTGGTAGCAAAGTTATCACACAACTTTTAAATACTGTACAGAATGCGAGTTATGAGTTTAGCATATACAAAGGAAACGAGGTAACTTAAAGAATAATTATGACTCAAATAAAAACACACTTACAGCTTTGTTCTTGAAAAACTTAGTTTTTTCAGTTCTTCATTTTTGAAATAAACAAGGAAATGGCACATTTAATATAATCATGTATTACCTCCATCAACATTGAATCTTTAAATGCCTATTAGATAGTGCAATGGTTGCCCACCTACCGTAACAAAAAACTCAAAATAAATGGGCAATCAATATATTTTGAATCACTATAACAGAGGCATTCAAAATGTTAACTCTAGTTTATCAATGAAAAAACTATTTACATGTATTTACGTTGTGCTAGTTTTATGCTGTTTACGATGTAAGTTCCAGTCTTAGTATAATTTGTATTTTCTTCTGAATGTTTTCAGGATATTTTCAGTTACCATTCAGATGCATGAACATCAGACATGAAGTATTTACTTACTAGTAAACATTGTAACACAAGTATACAGCATTTAATTTTAATCTATTATGGCATTTACACATGTAATGAAACATATACAGTACCGTATACAGCAACCACAAACACGCATACATGTGTACCCATGTGTACATGCATATGCACACTTGTACTGCATTAATATCACTTTAGTTGCACAAAAAACTTACCCAATGTTAGAAACATACAGGTTCCATAACTTGGAAAATTTTGATTAAATGAATTTGCATACCAAAAATTTCATATCTAACAACTTGCACAAAAAAGGGGTATCAATCAACATTATTATAAATATTGCTGATTCCATTTATATAACTCTTAAAAGACTTTGATATTCATATAGTGGCATCCCTGACTGGATAAGATGTGCAGTAAACTCTACATCCCCACTTGTTATCTCTGGTAGCCTTGTTAGCCTTCCTTTGATACAAAAAAAGGTATACAGTATCAATGCTGCATAAGCGTCTACTTTTACCAACTCTGTCATCAATTTTCCGTGGTGGCCAACTTTTTTCTCTTATAGTAAAGCTTTTAAAATATTTAAAAGTGAAAAACAAAAGAACAAATAGCCTTTCTACAGTGTCAAGATCTTGAGGTACTTGAAGCTTAGTCATATAGGTGGACAAATCCTCACATAGAATGAAAGTATGCATTCTATGTGAGGATTTGTCCTTTACATAAAATTTTTGAAGAATTCTCACTGTACATATAGTTTATCATTTTATCTAATATAACAAAAAAGGTCCCATTCCAAGGAAATTATAGCACATCCATAATCTTATCGAGTAGTTACTGAATAAACCATGTTTGCAACATGTCCAAATATAACATATTAATAACAGTACCTCCCTAAGAAAATTTCAGACCAATTATTTGTTTTATATTGTTAAAGGACTTGCTTTTCCCACTGCACTCACTTGCTTGGCTCTGTGAGTGATGAAGAAAGCTTATGCTTATTCCATATATATTTAATTATTAGCATGATCACTGGTATTACTTTCACTGCTATTTGTTACAATTTCATACACTACCACAAGTTTTCTTTCCATTAAAAAGGTTCTGGCCATGGTGTGACTTTTGTCACACCATCTAGTTTTACGTTATTCAAGTCTTTGTTTACTGTTTTCACCAAAAAATATATGCTACATATATCACCATAGGCATTATTGTCACTGACAATTGTAATAATGTTCTATAATTGTTCTCTTCCCATAAAGTATCATCCTACTGCCTTGTATATCTATCATATAGAATATAGTAGCAGCACAAAAGGTCTCCAAGATATGTTATCATGTACCTCAAACAACACTACTTGCATTATATTATTCTATCTTTACCTCCCCAATAGTATTTATGCCTGGGGATCTACTACACCAACTCACTTAAAACCATTAACCCAACAAAAAGCTGCTGTGCAGACAATAACCCATTCTAGTGCCAGACAACACACTCCCCCACTCTTCAAAGGCTTGACCTTACTTAATACACAAAATATGCACTCATACTACTGTGCCTACTATATATATAAAACATTAAATTCTAACATAAACTCTCTGAAACTTCTCCTTGATTGTTGCAGCAAACACAGGCATAATACAAGACACAAAACCCTCTCTGACATCCCCAGTGTCCACCTCAATCTATGCAAAATCTCAATGCACATAAAAGGCACTAAGATCTGGAATTCATTGCCTTAAGTTTTGAAAGGTTCCTTGTCTGCTATTCGATTCAGAGCTATTGTTAAAAATCACTTGATCTCCCCTAATTTACCGAGTACAGGTACAGTAAACCCTCAATATAAGACTAATAGGGACTGTCTGTTATATCAGAATGTTAAAAAAATGCCTGTGATGAGTTCCAAGAATTTTTCTACTCCCAGAGCCCTAAAGTATACCTAATATAGAAAAGTACACACAATTTAAAGATACACTGCAATAAACATTGAAAATAAAGAAGTTAAAAGTACCAGTTAACCAGTGGAACCCCAGTTTTCGTCTGTTTTCGGCCACTTTTTGGGGTAAAATTTTCCCCGTTTTCTTACATCTGCTCGGAAATCGTCTGTACCAGACACGTCCGCCTGCCCGTGGGATGCGGCTGCTCATACATTCGTGACTAAGTCTGCCTTTGTTACTCGAAGAGGGTGGTTGTGATGGTGGTAGTGATGGTGGTAGAGATAACCACTCCTCCATCTCTCCTCCTTGCTGTTTCCATATGCCAACAAGAGAAGTGATTTAACCCTTTCAGGGTTGGTGCCGTACTAGTACGCATAAATTCCAGCGCCTTCAAATCTAGTGTGAGAAGCTGATAGGCCTACATATGAAAGAATGGGTCTATGTAGTCAGTGTGCACAATATAAAAAAAAATCCTGCAGCACACAGTGCATAATGAGGAAAAAAAAAACTCCAACCGTGTTTTTGCGTTAAAACAGCGACTTTGCAGTGTATTTTCGTATGCTATTTATGGTTATATTCTAGTTTTCCTGGCCTCATTTTATAGAATGGAAGACATATTACTTTATTTATTGGATAGTTGAAATCGGTAAATGGGTGGTTTCTTGTACTCATTCGATAGAAAAAATGGAGTTCTAGTGAAATAGTAATGATTTTTGTCGACTGGTACATTGCAATTGGCAGAAAACAGGGCTCAAAGTGGGCAAAATCGCCAATGTGTAAACATCGTCGAGACCACTAACTTTGCGAGAGCATAATTCCATAAATTTTCCATCAAATTTCATACTTTTGGTGCCATTATGATCAGGAAAAGATTCTCTATCATTTCATAAGAAAAAATAATTTTTCTTTTTTCAAAAAATTTCTGACCCTGAGAACAAGTTTAGGAGAGGGCTTGTCGACCCTGAAAGGGTTAAATGTTCATTAGTGTTTTATATTTGTCATTGTTTTTTGTATGTAATACTATAGTTATTCTCTCTAAAATGTATTTTAATATTTTTGGGTGCCTGGAAAGGATTTATTGGATTTACATTATTTCTTATGGGAAATATTACTTCAGTTTTCCTACAAATCGATTTTTGGCCAACCTTCTGGAACAGATTAAAGACGAAAACCAGGGTTCCACTGTAATTTTAATAGCCTGTTATATCAAGGATCATTATATTGAGGATTTACTGTATTTGCATTTTTATTTTATTAAAATCAGTTATATTGTTTACAGATTTACACTACATTTATTGGTCTTTTCTCCATGCAAGAAAAATGGTACAGGATGTAGACATGTGATTTTATGGAGATGTGACATTATACAGTAAATTGAATCAGTTTCATATCATACATTCCAACTTGCCAGTGTCATGGGCAGAGTTATACGATGGACATTCCACATTCTTATAAATACAAATATTCAAAATGAACCAAGAGTTCATATTTTACAAGTGTTTTACACCTGACTGCTGTGACTAAGAACTGAATATAGTACACAATAATTTCCCAAGCAACACCAGAGAATTTACTGCAGAACAACCTTGTCCAATCAGCTACAATTAATACATAATTTAGGATGGTGAGAATTATGACATGCAAAATTAAACCAGTTAAATCTTCACCAAAGATATACAGCAATATATCTTTAAGTACCTGGCTAGATACCACAGAAATATAAGGCTTGTTTTCTGTGCAAGGATTTGAAATTATTTAATGTTTATAGATGCATACTTACATACTGTACTTGACCATACTTATCTAAATTCACCACTTCCACTTCGGTAAGGGTCAGTAATTCTTCCAGTGTTTTTGTTAACTTCTCCAAGGTGAGACTTGGGATCAGGTGACCAAGAGCTCCAAGTAGTTTTAGCACAAGGATCAAGGAAAGAACGAACACACTCTGGCACGTGCTGACTAGCAATATAACATGAATCTTGAACAGTGTAGAACCTGTAATGAAAGTTATAGATAATTATGTTCGACCTTTTCCATTTTGTATTCTGGTATACATTTTGCCATTTGCTTTTCACATTAAAATAAATCATTTCTGAGTACAAAAATAGCAATAAAATAAATCTGTTCACCTAACAAATTTTCCAAGCAAATTCCTATACTACTGAGTTTTAGTTTTTGTTGTTAATCCAGAGCCTTTTGCAGAACATATTTACGCATAGTCCCACTCTACAAAGGTGGCAGTAAAGCAACTGCAAAGAACTACAGACCAATAGCACAAACATCCCATATCATAAAAATCTTTGAAAGGGTTCTAAGAAGCAAGATAGCCAACCACCTAGATACCCATCAATTATACAACCCAGGGCAACACGAGTTTAAAGCAGGTCACTCCTGCCTGTCCCAGCAACTGGACCAAGGTCCTGGATGCTACAGACGATAAACAAAATGCAGATGTACTATACACATACTTTGCGAAAGCCTTCGACAAATGCGACCACGGCATAATAGCGCACAAAATGCATGATAAAGGAATAACAGGAAAAGTTGGTAGATGGATCTATAGCTTCCTAACAAACAGAACACATAGAGTAAAGTCTGAGGCAGCCACAGTGAAAACCTCTGTTCCACAAGGCACAGTACTCGCTCCCATCCTATTCCTCATCTTCATATCTGACATAGACAGAAATGTAAGCCATAGCTCCGTATCCTCCTTTGCAGATGACACCCGAATTGCCATGACATTGTCCTCCATCAAAGACACCACAAGATCCCAACCAAATCTTCAAATGGGCCACTCAAAACAATATGAAGTTCAATGAAGAGAAATTTCAACTACTCAGATATGGAAAACTTGAGGAAATTAATACTGTACCAGGGTATAAAGCAGAGTCTAACCATACAATAGAGCAAAAAAAAGTAATGTGAAGAACCTGGGAGTAATAATGTCAGAGGAACTCACCTTCAAAGACCACAGCAATGTATCTAACATATCTGCTAGAAAAATGATAGGATGGATAATGAGAGTCTTCAAAACTTGGGACACCAAGCCCATGATGATTCTCTTCAAATCACTCGTTTTCTCTAGGCCGGAATACTGCTGTACACTAACAGCCCCCTTCAAGGCAGGTGAAATTGCTGACCTGGAGAGTATATAAAGAACTCTCACAGCACACCTGACCAGCCGGGCTGTGGTTCATACGTCAGTTTGCATGCGGCCAGCAGTAAGAGCCTGGTTGATCAGACCCTGATCTACCATGAGGCTGGTCTCAGACTGGGCCATAGAGGTGTTGACTCCCAAAACCCTCTCCAGGTATCCTCCAGGTATACTATTTATGCAGTTTTTTCCTTCACTCAATCCTAGCATATTTTTTGTTACATTTAATGCTTGACAGTTTACAATCCTTGTTAAGAGGAGAGCCAATAAGAGAATGGGTAAGGCTTCAACAAAAATTATGTTGCAAATGTATGGAATAGGAGGCAGGTTACTAAAAGCGGTAAAGAGTTTCTATGTGAACAGTGAGGCTCGGATTAGGGAATGCAGGAGAGGGTTGGGGGGCCATTATTTTCCCCTGTAAAAGTAGTCCTTGGACAGGGATGTGGTATACTAGTAGTAAGAATCAAGGGTAAGAATCAAGGGTAACCACTCATTTTGGCAAAGAGACAGAAGGAAAGAAAGGTGGTGGCTTTTCACAATAATGGTAAAAGAAACACTACAACCTACAGAATTCACTCATTTTGGCAGAGAGACAGAAGGAAAGAAAGGTGGTGGCTTTTCACAATAATGGTAAAAGAAACACTACAACCTACAGAATTTAAAATTCATAACACTGTCTAAATTCTGGTGGCATAAATTCAAACTACATATAAAAAAAATTAAATGCACACAAATTTGCAATGGTTTATATTCCTAAAGGTCCCACAAAGTTTAAATTTGTGAATAATGCAAACTTCTTTCAACAAACCAGCTATATCCCACTGAAGCAGGGTGGCCCAAAAGAAAAACGAAAGTTTCTCTTTTTAACTTTAGTAATGTATACAGGAGAAGGGGTTACTTGCCCCTTAATTCCTAATGCAAACTTATGTCCACATAATAAATTTTATTTCAGATCTGTGCTCATTATGCATTTCAGACTAAATGAATTATCAGTATGGAAAGAAATTTGGGTATGGGAACCCCCATGAACATATTTTGAATGATATGAATTCAGCTGAGAGGTTATGCAGCAACTAAAAACAAACTGGACAAAAAAAAAAAAAGAAGTGAACAATTAATTTATTTGCAGACTGCCCAAAAATAAAAATGGATAATCGATTTCCTCAAATTAGGAACTTCATGAACTCGAAAACCAACTGTACTAAGGAAGCAATTAATAAAAAGTGACATGGAAAAGGTTATATATATCATTACAATGGGGATATCAATTAAATAAAGAAACTAGTTTGGGTAGCCTGAGGCCAAAATAGTGAACAAATTATCAGCCAAACTTCTCACTAATAAGTGGTATGTTCATGCATCAGAATACTAAAGATAGAACTAGTAAGAGAAAAGGCATTTTTTTTTTTTTAACATGCTGGCTGTCTCCCACTGAGGCAGGGTAACCCAAAAAATAAACACTTTCACCATCTTTAACACATAATCACTGTCTTTGCAGAGGCATCACTCTAAACAGCAAATATCCAAACCCCTCCTTTAAAGTGTAAGCACTGTACTTCCCACCTCCAGGACTCAAATCCAGCTAACTGGTTTCCCTGAATCCCTTCACAAAATATTACCTTGCTCACACTCCAACACCTCATCAAGTCCCAAAAACCATTCATCTCCACTCACTCCTATCTAACACACTCACACATGCAACATACAGTAGGGCCCCGCTTTACGGCATTCCACTAATATGGCAATTTCAAATTACAGTGGACCATCCCTTTTCGTCGCTCTCTGTTATCACCGATTTCCATTTTTGCTGACTTTTTAGCCAATATTTTGGTTCCATTTTTGTTGGTGGTACAGAACCTGTCCAGTGTCCAGCACGCAGGCAAAGCTGCCCCCACATGCATTCTCAGGCAGTGACACGTTGTTTCTCGGTGAGTTAACATATCCTGCGAGGTCATACAAAACATTTCATAATAATCCATTGTTTTTGGCACTTGTTTATTGTGTGTGACTGCTAAATAAGCCACCATGACCCCAAAGAAAGCTCCTAGTGCCAGTGCTTTGGTAAAGAAAGTGAGGAACACCGTAGAAATGAAAAAAGAAATCATTCAAAAATATGATGGTGGCATACACATTGCCAAACTCGGCAGGATGTACGGGAAGGTGTCATCAAGGATCAGCTCCATTGTGGCAAAGAGAAAAGAAATCATGGAAGCTGATGTTGCAAAAGGGGTGAATGCAATAATCAAACAGAGATCCCAAACAAATCTAGAAGTGGAGAAACTGTTGTTGGTGTGGATCAAAGAGAAAGAGGTAGCAGCAGGAGATAGTGTTGTGCAGCCGATAATTTGTGAAAAGGCAAAGCAGTTGCATGACGATCTCATAAAGAAACTGCCTGAAACGAGTGCTGATGTTGGTGAATTTAAGGCCAGCAAAGGCTGGTTCAAAAAATTTAAGAAGCGAATTGGCATACATAGTGTTATAAGGCATGGTAGAGCCAGTTCAGACAAACAAGCAGCTGAAAAATTTCTGTGGGAATGCAAAGGTTATATAGAGGTTGAAAAATTCCAACCCCAACAAGTGTTCAATTGTGACGAAACAGGCATGTTTTCGAAGAAAATGCCAGAGGACCTACATCATGCAGGAGAAAAAGGCACTCCCAAGACAGGCTAACTCTCTTGTTGTGTGGTAATACTAGTGGGGATTTCAAAGTGAAGCCTTTACTGGTGTATCACTCTGAAAATCTCAGTGTTCAAGAAAAACAGTGTTGTCAAGAGTAAATTGTGTGTGATGTGGAAGGCTAACAGTAGGGCATGGGTCAAGAGGGAGATTTTCCTGGAATGGTTCAATGAAGTGTTTGGCCCAAGTGTGAAAAAATACCTCCTGGGTAATTAATTGCCACTCCAGTACCTCCTGTTAATGGACAATGCTCCTGGAAGACCAATTGTCTAAAGAATTCAGTTTTGTAACAGTGAAGTTCTTGCATCCTAACACCACTCCTCTCATCCAGCCCATGGACCAGCTGATCAATGCAAACTTCAAAAATTTGTACACCAAAGCAATGTTTCAAAGGTGCTTTTACATAACCTTGGACTCTGAATTGACTCTAAGAGAGTTCTGGAGGAATCACTTCAATATCTTCCACTGCATAAGCCTTATAGATAAGGCTTGGCAGGGAGTGACTACCAGGATGATGAACTCTGCTTGGGGAAAATTGTGGCCAGATTGTGTCCAAAAGAAGGATTTTGAAGGGTTTGAGGCTGATCCTGTTGTGCAATCAATTGTGGTATTGAGTATATGTTTCTATGTTATTAATATTATGTGATATTAGATGAATTGTGATAGGTAAATAAGCCGTAGAGTTGATAATAGCGTCATACTGAAGTACTGTTCTGTCAAGCCTCCTGACAATAAGAATGGATTAATTGGATTTCCATTATTTCTTATGGGGAAAATTAATTCGGTTAAAGGCTAAATCGGTTAAAGCCTAGCTCTCTGGAACGGATTAAAGGCGTTAACTTAGGGTCCACTGTGTATTAAAAAAATAAAACAGTATTGCAGAGAAACAAAATGGAAGATATTCACAAATAAGTTTTGATTGTTCATGATGTTCATCTCTTCGATTTAGCACATAAACCCTAAATTACAGTACACACTAACTACAAAATGGATTTCCACAACCAAAGACTATGTTTTCTTTACATTATTTCACATGAATAATCATTTTAACTAGGAAAGTGAAACCTAAAGTTATATGGCCTCTTGATTTCCATGGGGAAGTGCAACAGAATTCTTCCTCAGTAAGTCATGCATGCCATAAGAGGCAACTAAAATGCTGGCAGCATGGGGCTAGTAACCCCTTCTCCTGTATATATTACTAAATTTAAAAAGAGAAACTTTCATTTTTCTTTTTAGGCTACCCTGCCTCAGTAGGATACGACCGGTATGTTGAAAGATGAAGGCCTCTGATGCACAAAATGACCACAAATTAGAATTTTTCACACAAGAGTATTTACTAGCATTGTTGATTTTGAATTTGCAAAGGCTTGTAAGAACCTATGTGCTGCAAATTGAGAAGTTTAACAAAACTGTACAGCATTTACTTATATACTTCAGAATACCTTGCAACTAGCTCATCAATCCACTTTAATAGCTGTGGACCATATAAATGAGAGTGAGTAGCTGAGACTTCCTGTGCTGAGGAGTTGCCATGTCCCAGATTAAGGTGGAGGCTAATATCACTGAGATCTGCATCAGCATAAGGTTTTGATGGTCCTCTGTGCAGCATCCTGAAATTTTAAAATGTTTGTGATAAAGAAAATTATGCATCTTCCATGAAAAAAAAATTGCCTAGAGTGAAAATGTTCAAGAAATAGTTACAAAAATAAAATATATAGTTAAATATTTTAATACTTTCATTGCCCAGACCCCCAATCTGAAACTTGTCCACAGCATCCAAGAATTTAAAAAAAAAAAAAAAATTCTTATGAAATTGTAAAAAATCTTTTTCTGAAGGTAATAAAACAAAAAGTGCGAAATCTGATGGAAAGCTGATGAAATTACGGTTTCACGAATGTTCTCACTGATATTTACGCATCGATGATTTTGCCCATTTTAATTCCTGTTATAGCCCAATTATATTGTTCCAGCAGACCAAATTCTTAGTTATTTCGCTAGTATGTCTTCCATTTTATCAAGTGAGCACAAGAAAAGGCCCAATCAGCTATTTCAATTACTCAATAAGGTGATCAAAAATTGGTAATTTCACACAAATTTCAAAATAGGGTCCAGAGTAAACAATGCAGGCATTCCTGGTACTAAAATAACATTTCCTCTGTTCATCAGTTATGTTCCCCAACTTTACATATGAATTTCATTTTGATTTTTTATTCACACACAAAAATAGAAGATTCACTATTATGAAATATTGTAATCTTTGTATAAATAATATCAGCGCATTCGTGAATGTACATTAGAGTCACCAGTTGGGTGTGTATTAGATGAGTGAAGTGATTTGTTCACTTGAATATCGGCAAAAAATTAAATATTTCTGCTATTTTGAACTCAATTTCAAGTAATTTTCAGCCCTGAAACCAATGAAAATCTTCTTTATTTCTGTAGTATATCTTCCATTCTATCAAATAAGACCAAGAAACCAAGAATACAACTATAAAAACCATAAGAAAATATACTGCAAAGTTGTTGTTTTAAACCAAAAACATTGCTGCAGTTTTTTTCTCCTCATGCACTGTGTGCTACAGGATTTTATTTATGTGGTGCACACTTACCACACAGACCCATTCCCTCAAATCTAGGCCTAAATTTACCGCTCACAGATTATGTGAGTCAGCTGAGCTCATGGCATAGTACTACGGCACTGACAGTGATTCAGCATGGACAATGAAAGGGTTGAAGAATAAATCTGGAAGACATGACTTATTGATTACCACTGATTTTGGGGAGACGAGCCAATAATTAAATAAAAGTGACTGGCAGGTATGTGATGGTGCAAACAAGATTAAATTTAATTTTGCAAAAATAGTGAGGTACGGATGAAACCGCAACTGCCCAATTTAATTTGCTCGGGAGAACGGGATGGGAATAAAGTGAACTCTAGTTCTTGGTCCTGCCTCTGAACATCCAGATGATTGATTAAGCCCTGTCACATCTATTTTTGAGCCCTTTTATGAAGTCTGTTTCCAATGAGTTACTGCTCAGCTCATTCCACTTCTTTACTACCTTTTTATTTTTATTAACACAGCAGCTATCTCCCACCGAGGTAGGGTGGCCGGAAAAAAAAAAAAACTCTCACCATCATTCACACTATTACTGTCTTGCCAGAAGTGCATACATACGACAAGTCAAATGTCCCTCCAAACAGCAAATATCTCCACCCCTCCTTTAGAGTGCAGGCACTGTGTATTTCCCACCTCCAGGACTCAAGTCTAGTTAACCAGTTTCCCTGAATCCCTACACAAAATGTAACCTTGCTCACACTCCAACAGCTCGTCAGGTCCCAGAAACCATTTGCCTCCACTCAATCTTATCTAACACACACACATGCCTGCTGGATGTTCAAACCTCTTGCATACAAAACCTCCTTTACCCCCTTCCTCCATCATTTCGTAGGACGACCTCTACCCCACCTTCCCTCCACTACAGATTTATACACCTCCAGGTCAATTTATTTTGCTCTGTCCTCTCTATATAACCAAACCACTTCAACAATCCCTCCTCAGCCCTCTGAATAGTACTTATACCTGCCTAAGCTCTTGGGAGTTAGCGTGGGTTGTTACCAAGCACCATGGCTTGTTGTAGTGTTTTAGAATTTCAGGTTCAAGTGTTGAAGAAGGAGATTCTACTTCTTCAGGAAGAAAATAGGAGGCTGAAGCTTCACATAGACAAGTTTGGGAGCAAGAGTGAGAAGGATTTAGCTGGTAAGGAGGAAATGGCCACCAGCAGTGACAGTGGCAGCCGCTTTAAGTGGCAAGTGTTTCACAGTTCAGGAAGAAGGAAGATGAGGAGAGTTAATAGAGAAGATGTGAAGGTAGGAAATCGATTCTCTGTTCTCCAAGACGAGTGTACTTAAGTGGTTAATGAGGTTGAAGGTACCACTGATTCCTCTACTAATCAAGGTAAGAATATTTTAAAAGTAGGCGATTCTCAGGTAAGATGTATGGACCGTGCATTTTGTAAGAGAGACAGACAGGTCAGTCAGAGAGTGTGCCTTCCTGGAGCTGATGTTGGTGACATAGTCAGCAGGTTGGATAATATTATGGCAGGTAATGGGAATAAGCCCATTATGTCTTAGTGCTGGGGGTAATGACACTGGGAAGGGCAGGAGAGAGGAGCTGCTGGATAAGTACAGGTTAGTCATAGAAGTAGTTAGGTCTAAGGGAGGGATCCCAGTCATATGTAGCATCTTGCCTAGAAAGGGAGTGGGCAATGAATGGATGTCTAGGGCAATTGGTATAAATTGCTGGCTAGACAGGTACTTGCAATCCCATTCATTGATAACTGGGACCTATTCTTTGGCAAACGTGATGTATGCAAGGGATGGGGTTCATCTCTCTGGGGATGGAGTGGTTGAATTAGCCAATTCAATTGAGAGGGTAACTGATGACTTGTCTAGGAATTCAAACTGATAGATTATAGAGGTATGGGTGTTTGAATGCAACATACAGGGCTATAAACTATTCCACACTGATAAGGTCAACAGGAAGGGTGGTGGAGTGGCGATGTATGTCCGAGAAAATTTAAATTGCTGTCTTAGACATGATATAAGATTAGAAACATTGAACACAGAATCTGTTTGGCTACAGTTTCTCGAGGGACGTGACAAATTAATTTTGGGTGTGATTTATAGGCCCCCAAACCTTGATAGGGAGTGCAGTAAGCTGTTATGGGACGAAATTCATAAGGCATCTAGATATGAAAATGTTGTGATAAGGGAGATTTAACTTTAGACAAACTGATTGGAACAATATGACAGGAAATCTTGAGTCTAGTGACTTTCTTGATACGGTTCAGGATTGCTTTTTAGAACAGGTTGTGACAGAACCAACCAGAGGAAACAATCTGCTTGACGTGGTTCCTGCCAACAAAGATTCACTAATTAATAATCTTGAGGTTAATGATGAGCTTGGGGAAAGTTGTAGACAGCCTATACTGTCTGCACAAACAGCCTATGCTGTCTGCAGGCTTTAGTTCATATTTCGCAGCACTCAGGTGCTGCCCTCTAGGCCTGCCCAGGTCAGTGGGACGCTGGTCCCACTTGCTCACTCACACAGCGGCCTAGAAGCAGTCAACAAGTCTACTCCCTCTCTCCCTCGTGGGCATGGCCCTCCCGGGAAATGGGCACAAACACACAAGCCTGTGTACCCACCATGACTTTGCAATAAAGTAAGAAGCCTCCGAAGACGTCTATAATTGAACCCCGCTCCGCTGCAGCATCACCAAACAATCCCGTTCACATTGGTGGGAAGCGGTGGTCGCAGCGGTTGTGTTTGCCCGGAGAGAGGAAGGAAATAGAATGAAGTTGTGTTCACTTCATCGCCCTACACTAGAAACATCCGTCTCTGTAGGCACTATGGGTCAGTCGTAGTAGGCAACAGAGAGAGACAGGTCGGCTGTTGGTGCTCCCCATACTTTCTGTTATATTATACGTAATACCAGCCTACGTGAGTATTCTTACCCCATCCACGTTATCGAAACCCACATGACAAATACAATCAATGATTCACACAGACGGTTGGTAGTGAGTCATCTACTGGTACACTGGTTACTGGTAACTGGTTGCTAGGAACTGGTACTACTACTGAGATCTCAACGAGTTATCCTGATGTCGTGTCTGCACATTTCAGCATCCAGACACAGGTACAAGCAGGATTTGGCCAAAATTTCCCATATTTCTTCGAGAAATATAAGTGGTGTCCCAGTGACCCCATGCTACAGCGTCCCATGCTGTTTCTCAAGTCACGTGTTCAGCATCACTTGTATGTTCTGCTGTTGTTTTTCAGCTCAGCACAGCTATTTCAGCAAGCCAGAGGTGAGTTTTGTGGTGATTTCTGCGTCCAGTGTGAGCTTCTCCACGTGTTTGTGGGTGGGAGGAGGAAGTGGCCGTTCCTTGCCTCGCCCACACTCGCCCTGCTGTACACTCACACCTCACCAGCCTACCATACACCATCATGCCATCACTCCCTCTGCTGTGTTTTCTGCTGTTTTCCATGTGAATTCATTGCCAGAGCTGTGTATCTGAGTGCCCGAGGCCACTCGAAGCTACGTGGGTCAGCATGCCACGTATATCACGACGCCATGTGGATCAGCAAGCCACGTGGATCCTGACACCACTTGGATCTATGAGCCACATGAGTTACCAAGCCACATGTCCCAGGCCACATGCTGTGGTCTGCTGCCCGCATCACACTGACGTCACTGATGCTGCTGCCTGACTTCATGACTTCACGATGTCTGCCTGACGTCACCTCGAGATGTCTGCTGACGTTACCTCACAACATCACGCCTGACATCACATGATGTCACATCGAGTGTTTCAGTAATTATGTCAGTACTGTCGAGAAGACTGAGAGAAGATATATGTCGTGTGTAAATTAATTCCCCTCAATCAGTGTTCTCACATGTTAGCGTATAGCTTAGTGTCAATTTTGTGCACAGAAAAGCATCATTTGCTAGTTTAAGCCATGTTGTACCGCATGTACTGCGGGTATGTGTAAAGTTTTCCATGTGTCCAGTGCAGTCTTGAGCCCAGACCAGTGTGTAGCACCACTGT